TAACTATGAGGTGAATGAAAATTTTCAACCCGGCCTGATGGTTTGATTTTATTACTAAGGCGTCTAATAAATTCATGGCTTTTAGTTCTAGAAGAATAAATGTCAGTAAAGACAAGTCTTTTTTGTATAATTTCTGATTTTAATTGCTCAACTTCTTTTGAACCAGAGCAACTGTCAAAAATTTCCAGCTGCAAAAAGGTAACGAATTGGCACAGCAGAAATGTAAATTTTTCTCGCCATAATAAAAAGTTTTTTCAACATGGAACTTTTCTATTAATTGACATGAAATTACTATCCCAACGCTCGAAGCGCTGCCACTGAGGGCCTTTGCCAACTGATTAAAAAGAGAAAATTTGGAAAGACCAAACAAAAATTTTGAGATTTCTCGTTGTTAATACGAATGCCATAGTTTTTACCTAGCTCGTAGGACTACGCAAAATTTTGACAGCTTGTAAATATGTATACACATAAAGTTGATGGCGGTAATAAGGAGTCAAAATTAAAATGGAGAAAAGAACAAAAAGCGTAGGTTAGTTGTCAGTTATAAAATAAATCCAATTTATTTGCGAATATTTGTTTATTCTTTTTGTTGAAAGGTAACCACTCGGAAAAGCTTGTGTTAATTATATTGATAACAGAACCTGGCAGCTCGCACGTTGTCTAAATTCTCAAGTAACATAAAGTCCACAAAAGAATAAGTACGCCATGTATAAATTTTAACAATACGCAAAAATAGAGCTTTCGCACGAGTGTTTGTTTGGTTTTTCAACACCATTTATAATTTTCTTTTAATAAAATCACGGTTTGACAAATAATAATACAGCACACAACCCTGAAATCTAGAAAAAGTCTTGGGAAGGCCATTAAATAGCAGCACACAACCCCGTGCCTTCCTCAGGAGTGAATATAACTACAACAACAACGACTACTACAACAACAACCCAAAAAGGCACGATTGAGAGAATACAAAGGTTGCGCCGATCTCGGACCGCTATTCCTCTCAACGAATTTGACAGAATCGTTGTTTGCATGACGTCATACTGGTGCAACTTGTTTACGTTTTCCTTGCAACATTTTTTCTTCTTCTTCCATTCTTGCTCACGTTTTGGCATTTCTCTCTCGCAATTGCACCAGTGTGACGTCACACAAAAGTTATTCTCAAAAATCCTCTGATCGGCGCAATCTTGTATTCTATCATTCTTGCCAAAAAGGTTGGTTACTGTCTATACTGTGGTATACACTCATGAAATTGTGTTATTTCCAGCTTGTATATATACTGAGGATTAAAATGGCATGCCGGTCGACTAAAGCGGTTTGTCAAACTTAAGAGCTAAATAAATCACACAAGCTGCTGATTAAACCTACTTTAGTATTTTCCCATACACTTTTTTGTAGATCAAAAATAAATTTGAACTTAAATATCGATATTGCGGGTAAAGTATCGATGTCTTCGATACATCGACCTTGGAATATCGTTTCAAAAAATCGATTATCGTGTCATGAAATATCGACATTCAGAATAATCGATACGATATCGAAAATTCCTACCTTGGATACTATCGATAGTGCCATCGTAGTTTTCCAGTTCTAGTGTATACTGTGGAACACAGTATACCAGTAGAAAAGGTTTTTGTTGTTGTGGCCCATAAAGGACTTGAGGGTTGCGAGCAACTGTTTTGCCGCATTCAGGGTGCTGTGCAGCAAAATAATGTGGTGAAAAATTTTAACATCGGATAAATGGCGAGAGAAATACTGTTATGCGCTTTATAAGTAAACATGAACGTAATAAAATGTTTTATACTTCAATACAAATAATTAGCGCTATTTTTGAAATTCGAAACGATCTTAAAAATATTTGTAGTGAAATATGTACTTTATGAGTTAAATGGAAACTATCTTATATGTAAAAATGTATTCCGATTTACTTCAAATAAATGAAAAATGTTTTATATATGGATCTAATTTTAATAATAATATTTATTACTTTCATCTACATTGCTTTCATTGTAAGTTTTCACGAGTTGTTGCAGTTTTCTGCAATTGTCTCTGGCGACTATACATGCTAAAGCTAAATAATTTCACAATTTCTACCCTATTAAACGTTTATATTTTAAATAAATGTGATCAATATATAATTTCCGATCAAACTATAGAACTGAATGCTTGAGAAAAAATTATTTAAATCAAATGATCAATAGTGAACGCACTCGGAGCGAATTTTGGAACACGGAGCGAATCATGCATATTAACACTAAATAATTTCTAACTTTCTACCATATTGTACGTTTATATTTCAATTTAATATGATTAATTACTGAATAATATATAAACTCCGATCAAACTTCACTACTGAATGCTTGACAAACAATATTTGAATCAAAATATCAATTGTGAACGCGCTCTGAGAGAATTTTTGAACACAATATAAAATATGCATGTTAAGATTAAATAATTTCTCATAAGCTTATCGTCGTTTAAAGTGCAAAACCGCGTATCAACAAAATACAAAACCGCGTATCAGCAAAATGCAAAACCGCGTATGTGAAGTTGTAAAATTTATTTTCAAGAGTGCAAAAGCACTCATATTTGAAAATGGTTCTCTTTTTTATAAAGCAATCGCATTTCTGGCTAGTATATTTCAGGACGAATGGATAAGGAATGAGCCAAGAGCTTGTGTCAGCAAATCCAATTTTTGGCAGCCAATGTTAGTTACGCGGTTTTGCAGAATGACGATACGCGGTTTTGTACTTTAAACGACGTTATGTTTTAATATAATATAATTAATTACTGAAGAATATATTAACTCCGATCAAACTATAGTATTAATTGTATGACAAACTATTTAAATCAAATGATCAAAACTGAACGCGCTCGGAGCGAATTTTGGAATACTTCATAAAATATTTACAGAGGAAGTATATTATTTGGTAGAGATCAAAATGTATTTAACAAAGCGTGATTGAATTTGACCATGCTCTCAGAAGAACCATCCTATAAAGTCAAATTGAAAAAAATTTGAATGAATTTTGAATCGTTTGTTTATATTTTTCTACATAATAGTATCTTAAAAGAGAGCCGCACTGAGTTGTCAATAACACCTTGGGCCGTATGCATAAAAACTAAGCAATTACTTCTTCTCAGATTTTCATACCTTTCACTTAAATAAGAAATAACAGGCTAACCTAATATTCGCGGCTTGCGTTTTGGTACGCATGCCGTCGAATTTGTTTTTTTTGCGTCACCCGAAATTGACTTGCATGCGTTTGCATTTGATTTCATTGAGCGAAACGTCAAATCAAAATGTCACGCAGAACAAAAATTGGAAATTGAGTTAGCTTCATACGCACGCCCATGATACAATAATTTTTAGAAGGTAGTTTCACTTCAAAATTTTTGACATAAACCGTGTCTGTGACAAACGAGCAATGTGGCCACTGCTACGATATAGAACTTGGGGATTACCGCTTGTTATTTTAGATATTTTTTAACAGAACATGTAAAGATTTATATGTTTCATAACTGATCACTTAATTTTTAATATAAATATACTTATTTTATACATACATTTTTGCCACTGCTAATCACATGAATAAAAATCATAAAAATGAAAATATGACAGCAATACTTCTTGTTTATAATGGATTAGATTCATCGCACACCACGGACTTTATCGGCCGCCAATTTAGATGTGTCTTTCCATTGCACCACAACCTATTGGTCAGAGCGATTAAGCTGGTGTAATGTGCGCACCTCCATACATCTTCATGTACATATTTCAAGCGAGCCCTATCATTTAAATAGGCGGCCGATAAAGTCTGTGGTGTGCGGTGGCTCTTATAGCTGTGTCCTTACATCTATTCCGTTAATTTTTTATGAAGAAAATTATTACAAAATATTCGAAAATTTCTCTACTTACATGTTTGGCTTTTCTTTCTTTTATTTTTCCAACGTCAAAAGCTGGATTTTTTTTTTTGAAAAAGTTGGTACAACAAAAAATACGAAACACGTTTTCTGTCAGATAGCTAACATGGCGGATAAGAAGAAGAAGTGAAACTACCTTCTAAAAATTATTGTATCATGCGCACGCCCTTCAATTTCGGTTGATCTCATACAAGTTGCATGTGCATGAGAAATTTTTGACAATAAATTGGCGGCGTGCGTGAATATTAGGTTAGCCTGTAAATAAATAAATAAATAATAAATAAATTAATTTATTTCAACAAATTTAGTGAAAGGTCTGAAATTTTAAGAAAAAGCATTTGCATACGGCCTCTTGTTTAATACACCCATGATACAAATATTTAAAGGTAAAACCGCTTGCTCAATTCGTCGGCATTCATTTATTTTTGGAAGTTAGTCTATTTTATGAAATTGAAATTTTGAGAGCAACTCAAATGCCAAACAAAGGTAAAACAAAAAACAAATAGATGAAAATATTGAAATTTTCATTTATTTGAACTGAAAATCAGAATGTATTTGTGAGATTGGAAATTCGAAAACATTTTTGTAATGTTAGCAAACTTTAAAAATGTTCAGGCTGCCTTTCAGCGGTTTTACCTTCAGATTTTTGTATCATGAATACACCTTGGACGAGATAACACGAACAAGTTTTCCTTTATTTATTTTTACATAAAATCCTTAAATATGTTCATTGATTTTTTTCTGTAGAATACGTATTCATTTTTTTAACGATTTTAAAAAAAGGGAGGACAGTCGGATCTACGTAACCAGAACGACCTAAATGCGCATTGAAGTCGGTTGTATTTTTTGCTTAAAATTATTTGTTATTATTGAGATACAGTTTCGCTACTATTTAGAGATTTATCGACATACTTTTTCATATTAGTTATTTATTATTTTTCTTATTAGTCATTTATATGTTTAGGACTTACTGTGAGTGCTTTAAGATTCATTTTGTAAATATGTATGTACATATAAAAAACAATTGGGATATTTTATTTTAAATTATGAATTTTATTCGTGCAAGCTTTTATGTTTAATATTTTTGAGAACATTTTTTGGTTCTGTTGTATTCTTTTATTGCATGCCTTAAACTTTTTTACTTTAAGTTATAATGTTGAAGATATGCCTTCTGCCTTTGTCAAGCAGTTTAGCTAGGTGCGAGAAATTTAGCATATGCGCGTAAGAGCATAGAGTAGGTATACGGCTGTGCTGCCGCCATTCTCCAACATCTTGTCAAAGGAGAAAACATATTGGTGGCGGAATCCATCGTAGTCCGATTTTTCTTAAGATCTTCGAAAAAGCGATCACTGAATCTGAACTGCTATGAACGTATGTATTCAAAGCAAGCGCTGCGTTCGTAGCTACTCGAACTTAATAGCATTTTCGTAGATTTCACGAAAAATCGGACTACGATGGCTTCTATGATAGCCTTCGTACTATTATGACTTATAGATCGATTATGGATGGGAACGGTACCTCAGTTGGGTTGCCGATGGACAGCGCCACTGAAATGAAAATGTTTTTTTTATTATGAATAGCAATAATTAAGTTTCATAAAGTTCAAGTTGGTACAATTTAAAAAAAAAAGTTGAAAAAAGAAATAAAGTATCTCAATCAAAATTTCCCGGCAGCCACAAGAATGCAGTTGCCAATATAGCAACTTAGTGGTTAGCTTTCAGTTGCTAGTTGCCATCGGGAATACCATTTCAGCCACTGGGCAACCAACTGAAGTACGGTTGTCCTCCGTAATCAACCCATAAAATCGGAATCGAATATGCATGCACGTTCTGCAGAACGATAAATATTTTGTAAATGTGTGCTCTGCCCGCTAACGAATTCCAGCCATGTGTGAAATATCGTATGTGAAGCCTCCGTCTGACTTGACGATTCTCAAAGGCATGCCAGAAGATGTTTCATCATATGTTTTCGGCCATCGTCTTCTACGAGTAAGTTCATCGATACCAAAAACTTTACAACCTCTATGTGCCAGCAGCCCTTAGTGTTTTTGCCAATGACATGGTACTATTGCACTGTTAATAACCAAATTTTGCCGCAGTTGCATTCACACGTGATATAATAGCTAGTGTCGGCAAGCTGTGGGAATGCCCAGGAGATGGCGTTTGTTCAGCTATCGAAATCATTACACTGACGGCGGTGGGCAGTTCTGCTGGAACATATTTACCACAGCAGTGGTTGCGGCGTTTTGTTCTGTAACAATAGCCTGCAATGATGACATGTCATATAATGTCGACGAACAAAGATATAAAATTTAAAATGACTAACCTTATTCCCAGCCGATTTGGGAGACCACCCTTGGTCACGTTCCCACGACAGTCGGGTCTACGTAACCGGAACGACCCAGATTTATATCTGGCCAAGGACTGTCACTCCAGCAACACTCCCCAAAAAGTCTTTGGGGAATTTGTATGCTGCTACAACAACAACAACCACCCTTGGTCACGACCAAAACGTATTTACCAAGATTCACCGTTGATGATGCTGTGCTTGTAGTTAATAGTCTGAAAATACAGAAAATTGCATTAATGAAATGGTATACACATCAAATAAATAAATTTTAATAATTTGTTTACCATTTCACAAACCGAATTACCAAGAAATAGAAACTCACCGCGATGCGATGCAGAAATAAAAACCAACACTGCTGCATTTTCTTCGTAAACAACACAAGCCCTCCGAGCAATCTGATCCGCAAAATTATTTTGTGAAAAATAATAGTTGAAAAGAGTTTTTACACATGATTATCACATTAACTCATAATTGCAAATTATTGTGATTATTTTTAGTTGAATATAATTTACCTTAGACTTTTTTTTTCTAATATTCTTTCTTTTGGGCCGCAAAAGCAACCATGCGTTCATTTCTAGTGGGGAAATTTGGTCCCCATGAAGGACTTTCACCACGAAACAGCTACAAAAACAAAAACCTTTTGTACTGGTATACTGTGCTGTAGGGATGGGTAGTGGGGGGTTGAAATTCGATTTTTTCAGAATTTCGAACATTGCCCAACCATTCGATTATTCCATTCGAAATTTGGTGGTGCAAATTCGATTTAGTTCGAATTTCAAAAAAAAAAAAAATCTGAAAATTTAAAAGTTTGTTTGTAAGAATGACAACTCAAATCGAAAAAGAGATTCAGATGAACCTATATTAGTTTGATTAACTATCTATATCGCTCTTTTTTGCTTCACAACCAAAAATACATAGAAATAAATTTTATTTTTCAAAAAAAATATCTAAAAAATCCAAAAATTTGGCAAATGTAGCATATTGAAACTAATTTTTTGGGGCATATAACATGATTTCATTTATTTTTCTTGCATCTTACTTTTAATGACAACGTATGATTATGCTTTTTAAGGCGAGATCTTTAAGTAAACCATTAACAAAATAGATAATAGGGCATGAAGAGTTCTACCCAGCCACATTTTTCGTTTGTCCACAGCTAAACGGCAGGTAATTTTGACTCATGCAAAAAATTTCACTTCACATTTGACATCAGTGTTGGAAAATGGAATGGCAATCACCTGCCACAAAAAATTTGACGACAGCCTTTGAAATGCACTGCGATATCTACATTTGGTCAGTTTCTAGATGTATTTGACACCAAGTGAACAGCTGTTATTTAAAGCAGTTTTTGATGTCAGTTATTTCGACATAATGAAAACCAGACATTAGATAAAGTTTTAAGATCATAAAGCATCTGAAATGTTATTTATTTTTTATGAATTTATTTGTATAGCTGGGATGTGTAACTATAAATAAATTTCACTGTGAGTTAATACTTAAACATTTATGGTGACGTGCATTAATGTCAATCGAATTAATGCCGCTGACATTAATACACAATTGAAAAGTGAATATTAATGTCATTAACATTACTGCACGTCACCACATTTATCGAAGTTCCAATTATTCCATTTTCTTGTATATTTTTAATTCATTCGCTGCATCAAAAATATCTATTTTTATATGGTGCCACACACAGAGATGCCAAATTTTGTCAGAAAGAAGAAAGTTGCAGAGCTGATTTTTTTGCAAATGAAGACGAAATTCGATTTTTTCTAGAAAAATTCGATTTTATCCGAATTTTAGCACCACAAAGTTCGATTTCAAAAATTCGTCATTTTAGAGCTAAAGTTCGATTAAAACTCGAATCTCGAAGCTTCGAGTATCGAATTTACCCATCCCTACTGTGCTGTGGAAAAAATAAGAGCACGTGTGGTGACATTGTTCCTAGTAAATTTCACTAAAGCCTAAATTTCTAAAAATAAATTTCTGTAAAGCCGAAAATAACACAATGGTTAAACCAAAAAAATCTAAATTGGCATCAACTAAAAATGTGGCGTTGGTTAAACAGTTGGCCGAAGGAAAAGTCACAAAACGGAAGAGTAAAGAAAAGGTCCAGCTGCGAGCAGAGGAGTCTTCGGTCTGTTCAACTTTTAAATTTGTATGAGTGGACAACTAATAATTTTTCCTCCGTTAAGGTACTGGACAGTAAGACAAGTAAAAAAATTTTAGCAGCGGCTAAAGCGCAGCAATTGGAATTTAACGAAGATAATTTTCCAAGCCTAGAGCGGAAAAGAACCTATGCTAACATAAATATAGGTGTGTTGAAAACTATTTGTGTGTTTAGTTATTAGCCCACTGCCTTTGAGTTAGCGGGCGGAGGGCGATTGTGGTTTGCTTTTGATATCCAAGCCACTTGAAATAACAGTTCAAACTTTGTAAAAAGTCGCACCTGACCCCTCGAAACCTTCCAAAGACCCAAAAATGGTAATTAGCAACTTGACAACGGAAATATATAAGGGTAAACAGTATTTGGATGGGCTTTAGATTGGTAACCCGGTAGTACGGAATTAATGAAAATATGGAGGTAGAGGGGGGTCTAATAGTTGTCTGTATGAAGTTTCAAAGCGCGGAGCCTTATAGTTTTTAAGGAATTTGTTGTTAAAATTTGTAAATTTAACAAACTTGTATTGCACTATTTCACAGTATTTAATGCACTATCCACTAAATTTACCGTTATTTACACTCAATATATGTGTAGTTAGAGTGTGCACGACCAAACAAATAAATACTTTTAGTATATTCAGCTTTTTTATGAAAAATTCATTGTTAAATTATATATATATATTTTTTTGATATGTAGACACGTCCGTGATGAATATAAAAAGTTTTCCTCTTAATTCCAAGGTTCATAGAGCCTCATAATACCAAAAGTAAAAAAAAAAATATTCAAAAGTGGTTTTGGGTAGCTATTAGGGCTACCTCAAATTTGTGCAATATATTGTACAAAAGTCCACAAAGGAGTAAAAGCACTCAAGAAAACTCAATAAATATTTCACTAAGTTTGACGGAATAAAACATTTATTTCATTGAAAATGAACTTGTGTATGTACAAAATAATTGATTTTACTGCAGATATGTTGGAATGAATATTTTATATCTTTTTAAGTATCTATGGTTAAGATTTGCATTAAAAAATTTTAAATTTTCTCCATGAAAAGAGAATTATATAAAGAAATTTTGAAAAATTTTAGATACAATTACAATATATAATACAAATGACCCGTTTTAATAAACCTTCCCGGTTTTTTCTGCCTTCAGTAGATCAAGAAATCAAAAACCTACCCTTTATGCAACAACAACGCACAAGCTCTTCAAAAACCACGGCAAAAACCACCTTAATTGCCTGTTCAACTGCAACCTTTGCGGACGTTTGTACAAGATGTTGTACATTTTTTTTACCACTCGGGGGGAAAAATATTTTTAATCATGATAGTTAAATTTTAGCATTTTTATATGATGAAATGCTTTTTATATTTCCATACTATGTGCTTTTATTAGCGATTTTACTTGACTTTCACGTATTTTTTGTACAGTAAATTACCACAACTTGCGTGTCACTGGAATTTTATAAAATGGTATATTTTTAAATTAAATTCTAAAAATATTTTTGAAACGCTTTCGATTTTGAGACTTATGTAAACTATTCGGGACATTCCAAAACTTCATAAAGTTTAATTTGTTTTCAAAAATTATAATACGATTTTTCCATCTACGATACCAACTTCATTGAAAGCGATTAGTTGAAAGGCCGTTTATACCAGGGCATGAATTACGTATGGCGACAATCGTCTGAACGATATCGTGTCGATATTGTGTTGCTTCATGAAAACCAAAAATGGTTTGATCGTTTGTGCGATATCGTCAACTCGATTCCAGTTTTGCTTCACGTAACAGCAACACAAATGCATAAATCAGTGATTTTACGAGGTCGTTTTGTCAGTATCGTTTGAACGACTATCGTTTCAAAGTTACGTGATTCAGGCCCAGGCGATTGTTGCTTTTAACTGAAAATCGCCTGAAAAATCGCCTCATGCAAATTCCGTATTAGTACGACTCTTGCTATATAGCCGATAGAGTTGACAGCAACAATGAAAACGCTCATTAAGCTGAAATTAGTCAAGAACGTAAACCTACCGGTACGTAAACCCGAGTCAGCTGACACGATGTGTTGTACTAAAGCGCCATGTAAATAAAAACTCAACACCGCAGAATTTTCCAGTAGTTGTAGCTCGTAGCGCAGAAATCTGCGGAATTTAGATTTTTCCGTGTCAGCTGATTTCTTCCTTTTATAGATGGTTGCCACTTCGTCAGTTTTGCAGATCGAAAAAAAGTTATAAGTTCCTATTCAAAATAAACTTAAAATATTTGAAATTTACTATTGAATAAGGTTCTTTGTTGAAAACTAAGTAGTTTATATTTATCTACCATCTATTATAACACGAAAAATTGTAGTTGAAAAGGTAAGTTTATGAAAAGGCATTGACGAGTGGCAACACTGTAGTAAGCAACACTGAGGGCTCTAGTAATCGACAAAATTCTGCGTATACAGACTGCGTTTAAGTATACGTTCTGCGTTCTTGACTAATTTCAGCTTTAGTTATCAATCTGTGGCGTAGCCAGACCCAGGGTTGCCACTTTGGTAAATTGTTACCAAAATTGGTAGAACAAATTTGGGTTGGTAAAAAGGTAAATTTTTTCTCATTTTGGTAGATTTTTGTTGAACTTTTCGTTCCCGATTTATGTTTCGTAGTTATATTTATATTATAAATTTCTTTGCATACTTACATATATATAAATGTATATCGATATAAGGCGAACATATCGTGCTCCATTCAAAACTCATTATAAAAAAGTTATTGGTAGATATTTTCCAGATTTGGTTGATTTTTCTCAAGTGGATGAAAAATATTTTTTTTGTCAGTGGCAACCCTGGCCAGACCTCAAAATGTGGTCACGGTTGCCGTTTTGGTCCAAATGGACCAAAGTTGGTCCATTTTTTTTCGTTTGGTCCATTGGACCAATGCTTTTTCAAATGGTCCATTTCACAACGCTTTGGTTAGGTTATTATCACCCTTTCACTTCATGCAATAGTTTTTATTTTTTTCTATTTAATTGATGAATTTTGGCAACACCTGTTTGAATAATCCACTGATCTTCAAATATGGCTTCGCTAATCATCTGTGAAAGCACGCTTCAAAAAATTCCCCGGTTTCTTGCTAATTTCAATTTAATGTTCCTTTGAATTCATGTATTTATGCCGAATTTCCACTAGGCATTGAAACAACAGCTTCTGTTAATGACTATTTTTACCTTCCTTTTATTAGCTCGGGATGTAACTATGTAATATTGATGCGCCTAAAAGATGCAGCGATTTCTATTCTCAAGTTACATACCTGATGACAGTACGAATGGCAATCATAATAGGGAGGTTTTAGTTTTTTAAACTATAATTTTCTTTAATGTAATGACACGATTATTTGTTAATGCCCGACTTTGTCATTTTGCCATTTAATGCCTAGTGGCAATCCAGCATTAGTTTTGAAAACTTGTAAGTACATGTATGTATCTGAAAGTGAGTACTTTATTTCTTTATTAATATGTATGTACAAGGCCGTATTTAGGGGGGGTCCCCAAAACGTCAAAATACAAAGCATCAGTCCCTTTTATTTCTAAACCGCACTAGAAGAAAAAGTCTAGCTTGCGCAACCTAGTTGAAAACTAGCATCTAACCGTGGTTGCGCACATTGGGCATTACAATCTGCTGAGGTTTAGAAATAAAAGAGACTGATGCTTTGTATTTTGACGATTTGGAATGCACCCATACTTATTTATACACTTTCAAAAGTCTACATCCTCTGATAAACTTAGAAAACTGCAAGAAAACGTGGTAGTTTCAGTGCCTAGTGGAAGGCGTCGTAAAAAAGAAGCAGACCAATCTTCATGGAAGAGCGAACGCGAAAAGCAAACAAAAAGATAGCTATGTAAAAGTTACTGTTTCAAAACTCGCTATATTCAGTTTTTATATATAAAATTTGCAAAAACTACCTCATTGCCATATTGTTTTTTAATGTTATTAGGCTCTTGTTTATCCAAATTTTCAGATAATAAAGAGAAATATACAATTTGGATGTTACTTGTTGTTGTAGACGTTTTTTTAAATTATGGCTCACTATTATAAAATCACATAACGCTGTTTGCTAGTGGACTACTCATTTGTGCAATATTAAAAAAAATTCAACAAACTTTCGTAAAAATTTCGAACTTTTAAAAATGCTAAAAAATCAATCGACATTTTTAGCCATTTGAAACGTGTACTTTATTCTACTAGAATTCAATGGGCGACAAAACTGCATACTCAGAATTTAATTAAAAAACTCGAAATTTTAACAAAATTTGTAGAATTTTTTTTAATTGCATGAATTTTTAACAGTGTCACTCGATTGGTACATTTGTACAGATTTGTAAATTTTTATATTGGGCTATTGGTAAAAAAAGTGGGAAATTTTTTTTGCATTCAAAAGATTGGTACAATACAGCGATGTTCTATTGAAAAATTTCAATAAATTAATTTTCGTGATTGGGATAGTGAAAAATATTTTGGGTGTTCAAACAATTGGGATACGATTTGCACCAAATTTTAGCAAATACCCAATCGTGTGACACTGCCTTTAAACTTGTATTTATACGGATGTTGGTAAAGAACGAACTATAAAAAACTAACCGAAATTAAATAACAACAAAAATAATCACCCTCGTTGCGGGAGTCGTGTCGAATGCAAGTCGTTTTTCGAGAGTCGAATGGTATCGAAAATTTCACGTCATTGCCTAAAATTTCCACTCGACTAGTGTATTAAAACGGAAAAACTTGGCAGCACTGTACAATTTTCGACAATTTTCGTCGTTTATTTATTTCAGCACGACAGTAGACAATGCCAATGTTGTCGAGTCGTACAATTTAGCCTAATTTGCGACTTACACAATGAGGCTGAATATTTTAAAACTTGTCAAAATTTGGTGCGGCTATAATTTTTTCGACTACTGTACATAAGTTGGCTATGATTACTCGGCCGTGCTATCATAGTAGCACAATGCCACTCATATTTGACTTACAAACAAACTACGGACAGGAATTTCAAGATTTCAACCCTGTTTTTATGAAAAATTTTACTTTTATCAGTATTTTTCTTTTAATCAAAATATGTTGAAATAAAAGTGAAACTAAAAAAGATTTTACTTAAAATTTGGTACGTAAGTAG